CAGGTGACAAGGCATCTACGAGAGACTCTCCTGCTCCACAAGATCTGTCATCATTTATGTGGGGCCCCCTGCCTCAAACCGCCCATAAAAAGCCACTTTATTCAAAAAATAGTACACGGATTCCAATGTCTCAACCCAAAACTACTATAAATAGCGGACCTATGACAATTGTAAAAAGAGGTCTTTTTCTCAAAATTACCGAATTGTAAACCCTTCACTAAGTAACACGTAAAAGCCCATCACGGCTCTTCACCTCGGTTCACCTCGGACCGGGGCCATTGTTGATTCAATCTTACATGCTTTACGTTCAAATCATCCCAAATTACTCACTTAATCATAAATTACATCGTTGTTAACAATCACATAACAACAGAACCATTAAACAAAAGAGCATGATTAAATTACAAAAGTATAAAGAAAAAAAAATTGATGAACAATAAATATATAATTACATGACTTTCTTAATACTTAATATTGTGGACATGAAATTGGTGGTCCATATCTAAAGACTAAATATATATATATATATATGCAGAAAGAGAAAAGGCAGAGAGGCTCAAGAGCTAATCCGTGAACACGAAGAAATAATTAATTAAGCAAACATGAAAATAGTGTGTCATAAAGGACAACCAAAGTCAATTAACCCTTCAAATTTGCTAACAAAAAATGGGTAATTTATGTGATATGTATAACAGAATGTGGTTAGGGCAACCCAAATTCAAACTTGTATTCTTAATAATAATGATGAATTATCCTAAAATTATATTTTGTTAGAATTATCGAAGGCACACATCTTCCATAATATAATTTTTAATAAATTTTTAATAATTACATATGCGAAAAAGCGTCCAAGAAGCTGCACTTAATTTCAGCTCTGAGTTATCCAATCCTTGCTACCATACAAAAGAGTTAAAGTAGAAGTTACAGGTCCCTTCGGGGACATCCGACAAAATTGGAACGATATAGTGAAGATTAGCATGGCCCCTCCACAAGGATGACACGCATAAATCGAGAAAGTAGAAGTTTACAGAAAATTACCCAGTAAAAATTGAAACTCCTACCTTCACAGCAACCTGCCAAATCTAGTCTCCTAGTCTTGGAGATGTTACTGCTCGCATTACACCACCTACCAGTCGAACAAGCACTCGCTAAATAGCGTTAGGTGAGTGACGTAGAGTACCTTTAACAAGATAAACCAAGCAAATAAATGGTAGAATCCATAACTTGAAGGCAAAAGATGAGAGGTAAAACAGCTCAAACACACATATACACACTCACAAAAATCAACAAATAGCAAATGAACGCATGAATATCATTCATTAGCGTTTGCAGTAGAGCATCATTTACCGGGATAAATATTGGGCATAAACCGGAAAATACGACGCATTCGTCGAAACCCAAAGTGCATCTTCAATCTCAACACTGATTCATCTGGCTATCGGAATCTATTGCTGGTTTTCTGGCAAACGTCGAATCGTTACTTTAACGCCGTGGGAATAAACAAAACGTTTCGCCAGCTAATGTACAATAATTCACTATTCCAGGGGTTTGAGAAGAGATTTATGACGGAACCTAAATAGAAAAGGGGTAGACCTGAGGCACCATTGTTGGCTTGAGGGAACACAATAATCAGCACCAATGACCAAAAGCATTGTGCGAGAGCTATATGCGAAGCTACAATACACTGATGCTTCCAATCGATCGCTATACCTTCAAATATTAAACACAAATAATAGTGAATTAACAAGTACAAATAATTTAATCGAGCTCATCCCTTCACCCAAAATCCAAATGAAATAAAGAAACAAAAAGAAAACCAAAAGGCACAAGTTTGTGTGGGATGGTTTTTTAGTTTTAACTTTTTATATTTGTAAAATATCCATATAATCTTGTCAACCTAATAGAGGTTCTAGTCGAGTCAAGAACATTAAATACCTAAAATACCGGATGAGCAAATTTTCAGGCTTAAAATCACCATGGACGATTCCAACATCATGCAGAGTTTCAAGAATTTGAAGCAACTCAATGGTATAATAAATACATATCACCTCTTCCATTGACCCACCAGTAACCACGTTCGAGTTAATGGCATCCTACACAAGTTAACATCAAGTTATTGCAGAGGATGATTTTTTTAATTTAATAACAAATGAAATAATTATATGCCAACCTGAAGTGTCCCGTTAGCTATATAATCAGACACGAGCACGCTGTAGTCAGAATAGAGGTGTAATCTGTGAGCAAATCCAAAACTCTTCCTTTGAAAAATGCAACTATAAATTAGCTAGAGCTTTATGACCTAAAATACATCAGTACTATTGTTGAAACGTCAACATACTTCTTTTTCTGGAATCCTCAAGTCAAGCTGACGATACATGTAAAATTCCCAAGGAAAGGGTGGCTTTTGAATCTGTCCGAGATTTGAAGGCTCAAGAATCAATTCACAATGTGTCTTTAATACAGAAGTCCAACCAAGAAGGTTAGTAGGACAAAAAATAATTACCTTAAGGGCAACAATTTCATCAGGATTGTTGTTCAGATACGCTTTGAACA